TGGCTTCTGTAGTACCCCTCGTCCTCTGTACTCAGTTGCCTCTGTACTATCAGCAGCAAGCCCCCCTATGAGAATGGATCTGCACTGATACTGACATACTAATGATTGACCATATCAGTAGTTCCTAGTATGTACTATCTATGATTGTCCTCCTCCATATCCCTCCATGATATAAGCAGCTCCTTCATATTGCCAGGAGTGTTGCCCATGATATCAGCATATGTCATATCATATTACCAGCTCCTCTGTATCAGCATCCTCTCTATTTAGCAGCGGATGCTTCTGTGTCTGCAAACACCACCATATCATGTCAGCAAATGCCATATCAGCAGATGCAGTATCAGTGGCTCCTCAATACTAGTATCAGCAACTCCTCCTCTGTATCAGCAAGAACTTGTTGTATTGTCAGTGTCCTCCATTTCAACAGCTTCTCCATATCAGGGACTCCTNGGCGTTAATTTAAAGTTCAGGTTAATCTTATTCAAACTAGTCAAAAACATATCCACTGAACTAGTCACAGATGTATCCTAACTAGTCAAAACAAAAAAACTGATATACTTCCTCTGGTCCACCATATGTATCATTTTAGCACCTTYATTACTGAAACAAGGTCAAAATTTGGGCGATTGGAATGCATCTTTTTTTGTTTAACAGAACTATTATAASAAATGTATACTACAGGAAGAAGAAGTACTACTAGTTACATAGGAGATCAWACTAGTAGTAGTATTAATTGAAAGCGTCTGACATAAATGTCGTGGTATTTACTTAAAGAGGGCCTTTTTTGGCATATCAATGTGATTTTATGGTTCTTGCAACAGTCATTTTGATATGCCGCTACTTGCACATGATAGCTAAGAGTGATGCATTTTTGAGGCTGTAATTCTCATTATTGTTKGTAACTTTCTTCTGCCGGTCATTCTTGTTCCAAAGAGGTGCACCTGACCATTGTCAATGCAAACTTTAGTTTGCCGTGTTGATATAGTGTATTTTCATGTGTGAAAAATAAAACGATTTTTAATCACGCACATGCACATTTCTAGTTTGAGTACTGATTCTAAGTGTTGTACA